AGGGAAAATGGTAGTTTTCTAACACTTAGCCTGATCAATATAGTATGGAATCATTTGTGAAGGACTTCCTGTTTAATAAATGGACATATTAAAGTACTAAAGCCTCGTCTTCATCTGTAAAGGTGTGCTGGTTTGGGCTGGGGTGGAGGTAGTTTTCTTCCCAGTGGCTGGTCTGGGGCTGTGTGTTGTGTTTGTACAGAAGACAGGGGTGATAATGCAGAGATGTTTTTGTATTGCTGAGCGGAGCTCACACAGAGCCAAGGCCTTTGCTGCTTCCCATACTGCCACACTGGTGAGGAATTTGGGGGTGCATGGGAGACTGGGAGGAGACACAGCTGGGACAGGTGACCCAAACTGACCAAAGGGATATTCCATACCACAGGGCATCATGCTCAGTATATAAAGTGGGAGGAAGGAGGAGGAAGGGGAGGAACATCTGGGGTGATGGTGTTTGTCTCCCCAAGTAACCATTCTGTGTGATGGGCCCTGCTCTTCTGGAGGTGCTGAACACCACCTGCCTGTGGGAAGCAGAGAAGTAATTCCTTGGTTTGCTTTGCTTGTGTGTGTGGCTTTTGCTTTCCCTATTAAACTGTCTTTATCTCAATTTTTATAGCTTTTATCTCCCCAGTTCCCTTCCCCCATCCTGCTGGTGGGGTGAGCAAGTGGCTGTGTGGGGCTTGGTGGCTGCTAGGGCTAAACCACAACAAAAGGCAACAACACATAACCTCTGTACACGAAGTGTCATGACTGATGGTTGATAATCCACTCAGTGCAGCTGCTAAACACACTTTCTATACAAGACAGTGGCATAGGGGTTAAACATCCACACAGCAACCCTGGCTGAGGGGGTTGTGACTGTCTCCAGCAGGACAAACTTCATGAATGCAGGAGTTAATGAAAAGCCATGTATAGAGTCCTTGACGAGAGGTCAAGAGCAGCAGAAAGCGTGTGGAACTGCTTTTACTGCTCCAGTGGTTGTGATGGGATTGCTCTTGTGACTGTTACTCCATCTACTACACTGCAAGGGGCCAGAATGCTCTGTCTGTGATTTGCAGCATGATGTTTGGGGCTCAAAAGGAATGTTGGGCTCGAAATGGCACAGTGAGTAACACTCTGCCACCTCATGCCCTGTAGGTTTTAAGTTCTACCTTGATGCAGTTGGTTTTGGTTTCCAGATGCTTTAGGTGTGAGGTGAAACCGCTGAGTTAATAGGGGTAAGTGTGAATAGATTTGAGAATATGGGAAATTTAGATATTAGGAAGAGGTTTATTTTCCTGTGAGGATGGTGAGGCACTGTCCTAGGTTGCCCAGGGAGGCTGTGGCTGCCCCAACCCTGGCAGTGTTCAAAGCCTTGAGCAACCTGCTCTGGTGGGAGGTGTCCCTGCCCAGGGCAGGGGATGGGACTGGATGATCTCTAAGGTCCATTCCAACCCTTAACATACAATGATACTATGAATGAAACTATATGCTTGCTATGCAGACATTCAAGTCTTCTGCTTCCCCACACACCAGGCTGGTGGGAGCTTCTCAATACCTTAGTGGCTGAGGTTGCACTGCTGTTCACTTGGTACCTTAGAAATGACTGTGTCAGTGGGAAATTTAAGAACTTTTAATGGTATCAAGTGAAAAGCAAAACTAGGTGGAGTACTGGACAGAGTGTTCAAAGACCAGCAGAGCCTCTTATTTCAGTCAGAATGTAAAAAAGCTGCTTGGAAAGGTGTTTTGAAGTCCTTAACGTCACCTGTCCAAGACTGAACAAGTCCACAGATAAATGTAAAAGCTTTTTGCTAGGAGCAGGAGGAGGGAGGGAGTCCTTCAGTCAGTGTGAGAACTGTATGAAGGCACTTAACCTGTGTTGCCAGCTGGGCAGTTTCCCTTTCTGCTGGTGGCTTTAGGTCAGTGTGTAGATCATAAAACTTCTGACATTGTTTCTACAAAGATTTTTTCCACACTTGGTGTTGGAAACTCTCTCCTGCTGCATGCTGGTCAGCAAGCCCAGGGATTCCAAGTGCAGTAGCTGTGCTCTAGCTGCCATGAAGGCATGAACTAGGCTGCAGGTTTTGGAAGTGGCTCCTATGTGGATTGTGATTGAAAAGGTGTGTGATGAGGACACTGCTGATCCACTGAAGAAAAGGACCTAATTAAGGGCTTGATGCTGCAGGTTAGTGTTGTGCTTATCTTCTGCAACCTGAATTGCAGAGAAACCAGTGCTCCCAGTGCTGCTCTGATCTTACCAGTTGAGGAACACAAGCAAATGCACAAACACAAAAGCCAAACTGACTTTTCCTCTGCTCTACACCAGACTCTGAGCTTAGTGTAATATTGCTGACAGAAAATGAAAAGACAGTCAACCCTCTCCCCCCGGTCAAAATTTGCTTTAAAGTAAGTATTTTAAATTTAATTTTCTGAAATTATATTCATAAAATACAGCACTGTGTTTGATTTCAATCACAGGATCAGATCTTTTTAATGAAAAAGTTGGAATCTTACACAAGTGCTTGACCCTGGGAGCAAACTGCTTAGAAATGAATGTAATCATCACGTACTTAAAAGCTAATCATGAAATTCTCTGGGCAGGCATTTCACTGCATGGCTGCTAAAGCAGTCCTGAAGCAACTAAGGAGCCAGTTTGTTTGCTGCCTCTGTTGACTTTAGCAGTAATCCAATGTGAAAAAAAGGACTAGAAAACGTGAGTATATTTTGGGTTATAACGTGTGTGCAGGGTGAACCCAAAGGGAACTTGTTTGCAGTGTTGTTAGCTGCCAAGTGAGAGCATTGCATCTCCAGCGTCTATTCAACCTGCAAAGACTAGTTCCTCGTTAAATTCTTTCATGCTTATGCTCTAAAGATGAAGTTTGTCCTCACGAGCTGTGCAGGCAGGAGTGGTTGGTCCCCAGGGCTGGATCTGTGCTCTGCCCACCTCCCCAGGACAGAGCTTCTTACATCACTGCCCCATGTGCTGGGCAGAGCCAAAGCAGGAACATCAGGGCTTAAAATAAGTCAAGACACCCAATACTTGTATTAAAAGAGGTTTAATCCAGCATGGCTTCTAAACATTAACCATGTACTAGTTTCCAACCATGACATGCAGTACATTTTTTAACTAAAAACCCAGAGAAATACAAAAGGAGTACAAAAAGGAGCCCAGGTCCCCTGATGTCACAGTGTGTGAGTGAAATGTGACAACAGAAGAGAAAGAAACATGGAACTTCGGACAGGAAAAGGTCCAAGGAGGTCTTTCCCATAGAGGCAAAATTTGTCACATTTAGAAGCAATCACGTGTTTTGCTTTTATTCCCTCAGAGGTCAGGAAAGAGGAGATGTGGGAGCTGCCTGTGGCCAGCTCGGAATCTGAGCAGCACCTTCCCAAACAGCTGCTCCCTGCCAGGTACTGTGCTGTGCCTGGCAGCAGCCAGCTGCTAGCAGGGACTTGGAACCCAAGTGGGAATTTCATTCCAAAGGAAATCTGCCTTTACTGTTTTATCCCTGTTCTTCACTTACTCTGTTAGTACCATCTGCTCCCTCTTTAATTACTCTCTGTTAAGGCCACCTGTCCTGGTACTGTACGGATTCTGTAAGGATATGTGCAGCTTTCTTTGGCATAGACCTGTCTGCTGGCACCTGTAGGAGCATGCCAAGCTTTTCCCAAGCAGTATTTGTTTATAGCTGGACGCAAATATTTCCAAGTAGGTTAGGCTACCCATGAAAACACCTTGTAAATTCCGAAGGCTTTCCCCTCGGAATACACCACAAGATAAATTTATGTCCTTCCAGGGAACAAAAAACCCAAACCAAACCACACACACACACACAGAACAAAGGGATCTGGGAAAATGAATTCCTTGGGGACATTGTGTAGTTTGGAGGTTGGTTTCTTTGCCTTTTCACAGTGGGGAGGGTGTAGTGCCCTCCTGGGGCTCAGGTACCCTGAGTGTGGCAGAAGGCAGCAGACCAAGGCTGGTCTCACAGGAGCACCAGTGCTCACAGCACAGAGCAGGAGGTCAGGCAGTGGAACCTTGTGCACAAACACTTGCAGACTTCCCTAGGCAGGCCCTGCTGGGTGGTGGTTGGCAGGCCTGCCTTCCCTGGGCATGCAAACACGTATGGGGGTTTCCACACAAACTGCAGGAAAGGAGCTGCTAAGAGGCTGCCTCACCTGTTCTGCCTTGTGTCTGTGGTGAAACTGCAGCAGATGGGATGTGACTCCACCCAAGCAGCTTAAAAAAAGTGGTACTGAATGTTTGATGAGCCCTGTGGCACAATTATATTTTGAGGTTTGCTCTTGCTGCAGATTTCCAGTTGTCACTTTTTCTTGTCACAGACTGGCAGTAGATATAAATGTATTGAAACAAACAGGCTAACTATAATTCATGCCTTCAGTGCTTGAGAGTGGAATATTCAGACTTCAGATAAGGAAATACTGTTAGTTAACCAGGAAAAGTACAAATAGAGGCACTCAAACCTCTCTTCTTTGGCACATCAAGAGGTACAAAAGCTCTAAGTATTAAAGATCTGGGAATAAGAAAGCATGTTAAAAGCTCTGGCTATACACATAAGATGCTGTTCCCATGGACTCAGGACACTGTAGTGCTGAGTAGGGAGGGGCAATGGAGAACTGAGCTGTGTTGTTTGGAACACACCTCTGAGACAGGCTGAACTACTGTAGCAGCTGTAGTTCTGAAGGAGTGTCTGATGGCATTGGAAAGAGCCTCCACATCACTGCCCTGTCTGTGCTTGGGTGATTCCATAAACAGTGAGGTGGAAAGAGGATCTGGAGGCTGAAATATGGGAGATATTTCACTTGGCAGTGCATTCAGCAAAGAGGAAAGTGCCTGATCATCTTCCCTTCATGCTTGGTTGGTGTTTGGTTCTTCAGTCTGAGTCGGAATCATAGTCCTCATCTGAGGGGTAAAACAAGGAACAAAAGTGAAAATGAAAACTGTAAATCCCCAGTAGGTCTGGCTGGGAGGGAGAGATATGCTGCTCCTGGCAGGAGTCTGCTTCAAAGGCACAGCACATTTGGGGAAAGGCATGTGCAGCAACAGTTCCTGCTAACAGGGTGGAAGTGTGAGTGGTGTTTCAAAGGAGTTGGGAAATGCTGCTGAGAGGCACCGAGAGCAGCAGCGGCAGGTGCCGGTTCCGATGACAGGAGCAGCAGTGGTGCTGTTGGCAGCACGACCACCAAGGGAAGTCTGTGCAGGCAGCACATCCTGCCTGTGCTGCAGAATTGCTTTGTGGGTCACGGTTCTGCACTGCCAGTTCAACGTGGCTGAAAGGCAGAAGCTGTTAGATGTTAAGCAATCCCAACAGGCCTAGGAGGAGCACATTTCTGCCCTGGGCAGCTGAGAGCCCCAGTGAGTTTGGGGCTCCAGGGCAAGGCACTCCCTGCACGGCCAGACCAGCACACAAAGCTGTATGACTGCCTATCTGTGAGTTTATGCATTTCTCTCCCCATCTCCAGGCAAATTAGATCTAATCTTTAGCCTAATTTTGTCCCCTTGTCACCTGATCATCTCCTGAGGTCAGTTGAGGTTTTAGTCTTGACCGTCTGTTTCCTGTGACCTGTTCCTTTAATGCTTCTGTTCTCTCTCTTTTTGGCCGAAACTTGCAAATTTTGAACAGTCTACTAAAATCCCTAGAAAAGACTGTTAGCACTACTATACACCTTCTAGGATTCTAAGCACACCTTGGGTGTTTGTTTTTGAGGGGGTTTGTGGGGTGTTTGAGGGGGTTTGTGAGTTTTGTGGGGGGTGGTTTGGGATGTTTTTGTTTTATGTGTGGAGCAGTCCTTTTCATCTGTATGGGTGCAGTGAGTAGTGTGACAGGGACATGAAGCCCAGTTTCGGCTCCTGGGCACAGCAAAAGAGTCACCTCTGTCCTGACTTGAATTGGATTTGAACACCCAACTGTGAGTCCCTCTTTTTATCTTTCATCCAAGTGGATCTGCCTGATCTGTACCTCCTGTGATAGAAAACAAAGTGGTAACAATCTTGTTATGCTGTTTGGCCCTTGCATTTCAAGACCATTTGCCCCCAGATGCTCAAAGCTGGTTGTAAGAGGCAATCATGATAAAGAGAAGATAAAGAGCAAAGCACTACTGGACACAAAAGACTGTGGGCTAATGGATGCTAGTTATTAAGTTACCAAGCAAGAAAGGCAAATGCTTGCTTGTTTTTACAGAAAGGTATTTTGATGGGAGAATAAAGTCTGTGCTGCACAATAGTTTCTATTAGTGGATTTGGGGCCTTCAAAGTTAGATGGTGCAAAACTGTGAGGAACTCCACGTTCCTGGCTTGCTAGTCACCTTTGTAAGTCACTGAAATTCCAGTTGTTGTATTTGAGGGCTAAACAGCTTCATAACTGAGCATAGTTGTGGCATACAAAACCAAGGTAGCCAAGAACAGAATTCTTACTGAGTATGAGCTCTTGCTCCCCTACAGAGGGTGAAATGGAGAAGAGAACCTCAGGTTACATGTGTAACCAAAACAAAATTTGGCAAAATTTGACAAAATTTTACCCACCTTCTGACTTGCGCCCCTCGGGGGGATCAGCACTGCCTTGCTTGAGGAAAGTGACCAGTTCATTGAAGGTTATGTAGAAATCAATGGCAAACACTATCGTGGCTATAAACCCAAACACCTACAATGGCAGAACAACACCCTCTTTAACAACAGGCCATGTCTGCAAACGACAAACCAAAACAAGCTGAACCAACACAAGAAAAACTCTTGATGAAAGCTTGGGCTTGGTTTTCTTGGCCTGTGCCTTTCCAGAAAGACAAGGAAGGGAAATGCCTTGTGACTCACTGGCATCCACTAAATTACAGCTAATTTGGGAGCCTGAGAAGAGGTTCCTGCAATTGCTCCATCAGATGTGTCCTTAGCTCTTCCCCAGGCCCCATCTCTCTCTGGCTCTGGGCACTGAGAATCAGCACTGCTGGGATCTATGGGAGAATGCAGCCTGCACCTCCACCATCCCAGGGCATCTCTTTGCCATCAAGAAATCTTGATTGCTCTGGAAATATTTTTTTTACTGGTTAGCAAAGAGACATGACTATTGCCAAGTAAACTAGATTGAGATTCAAATGGTTTTGGAGTTCCCTATTCAGCAGCAGCAACATGCCAAGGCCAGGCTGGGTTTCAGCCTGAGAACCCAGGGTAAATGCACTTGCATTGCTCCATGGTGGAAGGACAAAGATTATTTCAGCCTGAGAACCCAGGGTAAATGCACTTGCATTGCTCCATGTCTAGGTGGAAGGACAAAGATTAAAACAAGGGCTTTGTTTTGAACTGTGTGTGACTTGGGCTGCTTTGGTAAGGGCTGCTGGCCAACACTGCTGGGTATTGTTCATCCTTATCTTTAAAAATGATTATGCAGATTTTATTTATGTTGCATACATTATTGATGCTCAGAGTCAGGTTGCAGATGGAGGGGCTGTATTGTATTTCTGAACACAGAATGCTGATGGTGAAGGCTCTTTTCTGGGCAGTCCTTATACTGGAGGGTAAAATGACACTGCTCTTGTTTCAACCCATCCAAGTAAAATTAAGCAGTAGAGGCAGGAGGCTGAAATTACTTAATTTAGACTGGCCTTAGTAGTTACAGGTTTGATTTTTTTATCAGTTATTCCCTCCATTCAAGGATCTTGATGCTCTTTGCAAGAACAGAGTTTACCTTCTCTGCACAGGTGGTGAAACAAAAAAGCAGAATAGGTGCCTTTCCCAAAGAGCACAGTTAACACTGAGCAGCACTGTTAGGATGAAAAAGCTACTCACTGATTCAAAACACGTTTCTCTGAATAACTGACCATTTCATCTTTGCTTTAGGCAAATTAATTTTCAGCTAATTGAAGAAACTTCTGCTACTTGCAATGGGGTTGAAATCGAACTGTTTCTAACGTACACCCATATGCAGTTCCTCAAAATACTCCAGTGGAAAGCTCCTGCCTACTCACCCCTGCTGCTTTGGATGCTCCATCGTTGTATTTCGAGACAGCAGCAATCGAAATGGCAAAGTAAATAATGGCAGCAGTGACACACCGCAAGAAATCCTGTGAAGTGAGCAATGTTGCATTCTTAGATTAGTCATGTATTTCCAACATCCAAACTCCTCTGAAAACAGTTGTGGAACTGACCACTAAAAACCTTTGCTGTTGCAGAGGGACTTGCCTGATGCTAGTGTGTGACCACAGCTTGGTATGCTGCAGCAGATGAACTGCTCAGTTGGGAAATGTTTTGAAATAAG